CCCCCCCCCCTCCCGTAATAAGTTCTGTAACAGATCATCGGCTTCTCAACTCATAGCTTTCAATCGAATTATATAATGCAACGAGATCTATAACGAATTTTATTAGTTATTCGTTGAAACAAATGGCATACAAATGACACTTTATTTCATTTAATTTTAATCTTAAATAAATATTTATTAGAACGAAAAGCATTTTTTTGTTGAAGAGATGCTTCAAGTTTGCTCTGTTAAGAGAAATCTTGCGCAGTGATAACATGGGTAATACACGGAAAGAGAGGATCTAAAAAATTATGTCCGGAAATGCTAAAATATAATATAAAAAACGAACGTAAGAGGTGCATATTTAAGAGCTGTATAGATGTGTATTTCGCATTGTATTTCTCCTGGTGTACAATGAATGAATTTCTTGGTTGAAAGTAGTAAATGCCAATTGATTTTAAAATCAAATGACCTCGCTGCATGTCAGAATGCAAACTACATTATGTTTGAAAATATATAAATTTTACCATTATTTTAAAATAATGCGAAATACATCCTGCTTGATAAACAGCTGCTAATTTAAAAAAAGGAATAAACTCGTACATGCTTTAGTTTCTATTCTAATCTAATTTTGATAAGTAAAAGTAACACTATTTCTCTGTAAAAAAAAATAATTTTTGGTTTTTGAAAAATATATAATTTTTTCTACACACGTGTGTATTTATTAAAACTTCATAACATCTTAATCTTTTCGTGTTTTTCTTTTCTATAAATGTATAAATACAATGTTTTTGATAAGGCTTGCATGAATTAAAGCATCTCTTCTGATAATTACAAAAAAGACGAAATACACTTTCAAAGCTAATAATAAACTTTACATTTTCCAGTTTGCTTTTAAATTAACCCTTCGTGGTCACACTTCAAAAAAGCCACACGATGGTTTGAAGTACTCTGGGTTGAAGTGACCCGAAACATTTTTAAAGTGTTACCAAATTAATAGTATCAGTTCCAATAACTTCCAAAAATTACAGTATGTAGTTTCAATCTTTAAGAAAATGAAACAATGGCGTTTTAGTGAAAAATTTAATCTGAACACTAAAAAAAAAATCGTAAACGTGTTAACGTTAACGTTAAACTTAACACGTTTACGATTTTTTTTTAGTGTTCAGATTAAATTTTTCACTAAAACGCCATTGTTTCATTTTCTTAAAGATTGAAACTACATACTGTAATTTTTGGAAGTTATTGGAACTGATACTATTAATTTGGTAACACTTTAAAAATGTTTCGGGTCACTTCAACCCAGAGTAACCATTGTGTGGCTTTTTTGAAGTGTGACCACGAAGGGTTAATTTAAAAGCAAACTGGAAAACGTAAAGTTTATTATTAGCTTTGAAAGTGTATTTCGCCTTTTTTGTAATTATTAGAAGAAATGTTTTTGGTCTTTCTGACGTCATTTTGATGTTATCGTGACTTGTTATGTTACTTGGGTTCTTTTTCATCTCTGAATTTTGAATTTCATTTCTGAAATTCCGTGTTCTCTAATTCTTTACTAAATTGCAATTATGTTCAACTTTGAGAAATTATGATTTAATAATGTTAATATTTTTTTTCTCAATTTCATGATTAGTTTCATTCTCGTCCATCGATAAATCCAAATCATCTTTAACTTTCTTCATGGATTGTTCTTCGTTAAGTTGATTCGATCAAATGGTCTTTGATTTTTTTTTTACATCATCCATGTGAATATTGCTCTTTGGATCGTTCTCATTCATCTCGTAATCGTCTGTCTCATCATTGGTAACCTCTTCGGTACTCTACCGGCTGGAAATTTCTTTGACCGTTTTATCGCGTTTCTAAATCTATACTGTGGTTTACAGTGCGAACACTCTGATCGATTATAACGCTAGATTCTAATTATTTCGCCTAACAAGGAGCAATTATGCAGAGATAAAAATAATTCTATTGATCGTAAGAAACGATGCGTTTATTATTGGGGAGAAACTACATAGATACTCGTATATATCACATTGTAAATATTTTTTCTTTTATTTACATGTATTTAGCTCTTTCTCTAAATTATTTATATTTAAATAATTATTAAATTATGTAAATGTATAATGAATTTTATCAGCATGTCTACAAATTTGTGTTCGTTTTCTTTTACCTTCGAAATTTACTTCAATTTAAAGAAAAGAGTTAAATCGCTATTCAAGAATCGAAATAATTTTAAGTTTTACTCTTTTCGCTTTTTTATTTTTGATCACGATAATTTTTGTTTAAATTGCGACAATTTTTTTAAATCGAATTTTTGTATATACTCTCGAGGTCTTTTGAATATTATGTTACGTCGCGAATGATATGTTATTATATGGATTATGCCTGACAATTACCTATCGTATCTATTACATCTTCCACTACAAGATCTCCTTCTCTTCTTCCTTTTGCTTTTATGGCGTGTCCTCGAAGCGCTTCTTAATCTTTGATCTCGTCTATATCTTTCTTGCCTTCTTTGAGTCCTCTTTTGCTTTTGGAAATCTTCGCTTTGGAACTTCGTCGGAATATCATGATTCTTAGAGATAATCATATCGCAAATGCTGACCTTGTTTCTTCGCGAATCGCTTTTCATTAAGTCTGAGGACACGTGTACAATTCTGTAAGTAGGATCAGAAGGGATAAGGTAGCCAGACTCGACACCAAAGTTCAACGCCTTTTTCATATACTTTTCTGCCTCTTTCGTACCTATCGAAGAAAATTTATGAAAATTTATTTCAGGTAAAAAGTTATTCGAATAAAATCTTCTCGTGCATAATTCTTTTAATTGCCTTAAGATATTACATATATCAAAATATATATAAAATATATAATAAGAAATACATAAAGTATAGATATGTATAACACATTAAGTAAATATATACATATATGTATAAATATATACATATATGTATAAATATCATTATCTATTATTATCAATTAAATTATTATCAAAATCAAGTTGGAATTTTATATGGTACATCTAATTTAATTATTAGTCATAGAATATTTGCAGAAGTAATAAACACTGGATGTGTGTTTTTTATTTATATCTTTTAATCATTACTTCATTACAATCTAAATTTTTATATATAGTAATCTGTAACTATTTTTTCAATTAATTTCATACCATGTTTTCTATCCATGCATTTTTGTAAATATAAAATTGGCCGATTTTTGGAGATAGGACACTGATTGATATTGTGCAATTTCGAAATCCTGCCAATGTCTTTGCGCCATCTTTGTCTTATTCTGCAGCCTATGCTTTCGCCGATGGTTGAAATAGGGTCTGTGACTTTATGATGTTTCCCTTGATCACAACGGCACTTGTTTACAAGACAATGTTCATTACCATCAAAAGCTTCATTCGCAATAAGGAACTTGTAGACTAATTCGGGAATATTAGGTTTGCGACGACGATGCTCTTTAGATTATATTATGATGAATAAAATATATATTTTTATTTTATATATTGAAATTTTTACTTCATTTTTAGTATTACACAATTAATTAAATAAGGTTAAAATGTAAAAAAATTCACATATAATACATACTATTAATACTTTAATATTAATGTTGATTTCTTGGCAATTTTGATTTTAAAAAAACCGAAAATTAAAAGACTGCATCTTAAATATAAATTAACTAGGATAATACTTCATATATAATGAAATAATATAACAAACTGATTTATATACAAAGCAGATATCAAATTTAGAAAAGGCTTTTTTATACTTTTGCCGAATTAAAATTTGTATAAGATATAGCTTAAAAAAATGTAAACATATTATAAAGGAAACGACATGAATTTTTATAATTTGCATTGAAATAATTACTCACTCATTTCCTGATGATTTGACATGTTACGGTGTTTCTTTATGGGAGACATTTTGGGGTTACTGTTAGTCCTGCTATTTTTTTTTCTTTTTAGATATCGTGAAAGATTTGTTGTTTAATTGTTAAATATGCAACTTAGCTCAGTTTTGTGAATATGTTGATCAATCAGTTGATCATGGAGCGAATTTTGTTTGAAATCATTTAAGATGACGTTGAAAATTAAAAAAAGAAGACCAATGACCAATGATACTTTCTAGATTTTTCTTTTTTTTATATATGTAAGAGGTCTGTTTTCTGTGTTTTCTGTGGCTGAACCAGTATACACTTTTGGAACTTAAAGTGAAATAGGTATATATTTGATATTTGTCACGAGACTTCTAGTGCAGTCTAGTGCAGGAACAGAAAACAGATCAAAGATTTGCAATTATTGTTCGACTAATCGATTAATTGTTAGATCTGTTTTCTGTGGCTAAATTATGTATGTATGTATGTACATATGTATATGCATAATTTTTGGAATTTAAAGTGAGATAGGTTTTTTGATATTTGGCGAAAGCCAGAAAGAGAGTTCTCTTTCTAGTATAGTCTAGTCCAAAAATCTAATGCGCAAGGAATAAAAAACAAATCTATTCAATAATTTTTAATAAATCACATAGTAATATACATATGTATACATTTGTGTATGTGTGTGCATGTGTGTAGCAAGTGAAATCCATATATAAGAGTGAAATAGTCACTTCTTACGTTAAAACGTTGAGACATTCATTAAGATTTATTCTTATATAAAAAGAAAATATCGAAAAGAATGGTAGATATATACATACACATACTTGGTACAAAAATATAATTTCAAATGAATCTCAAAAATATATGTAATAAATATATTTTACAAATAGTAAAAAAACAAAAGAGTACAAAAGAAAAGAAATTCTCGTTTTTTGACCAAGAAAGGCATCATTCAAGATTGACATTCAATTCTTTAAAATTCCATTTCTTTAATCGTTTTGTCGCTCATGTTATGGTCGACACTTTCTGTTTCAGATCTTTTATCATTGTTTTCATCATTGGAATTTCTGCTTTCTATTCTGTCGTAATTTATCCTGTTATTATTGATATTTGTCTCGGTTTGTCGTTTCTCCATTCTCGATTCGTCTTCTTGACTCGACGTCGACTTTTGTTCCTCAATTTTATAGTTATCTTCATTACTTTCGTATTGATTGCGATCCTTTTCGTTAACGTCCTTATAATTTTCCTCAACTGGTTCACGATCATTCTGAGCATATTTAGCAGAAAAAAACATACGACGTTTTTTAATTGACCTCTTGATGTTTCCGTCATCTTTTTTTTGTTGTTCTCGCTTATTGTTGATCACATTGTTAATTTTGCTAAAACGAACATGATAAAAATAAATTGATTTTTCTTTTTGAAAAATGAATATGCCCTAGCAAAATTCCGTAAAGCAATATTATAAACACTATTATGCTACCCATGAATATAATAGGTATGAGAATAAAAGAATTTGATCTACTACTCTTTTTTTATCTTCTTATTTTCCTTGTTAAATCTAAGGCATTCATAATGCATTTAAGTGTATTAAAACGTCTGTATTGTATTAAAATCCATTAAATGCATTTTCGTAACACAGTAAGCTCGTTAAATTCTTGAATAGATAAAGCGAAAGAGATATAAGAAAAAAGTGATATTTTTAGAAACGGATTCATATATAATAGATAGCTATCTAATTTTACGATTCCCAATTTTGTGAGAGAAAATATTAAAATATAAAATTTTTGTATAAAAGTTTTGTATAAAATTTTAATGCTGAGACAGTGCACATTACTTTCATATCAAATGGTCGTGAAAGGACATATAGTGAAAGATTTATGAGACTTGCTTTAAATCATAAAACTTACAAAACAATTATAATATAAAAAAAATTATAATAAGCATCTCTTTTTAAATGAAATAAAAACCTGTTCTTTCTTGTAAAAGCTTTCGGTTTGCTTTTCTCGTGTAACGATTTACAAAGCGATTTTCGTGGGTTGCTCTCCTGCGTATTTAAACTTTTGGCAGGATTTTGAACAGATCGTGTTTTTCTTTTTGCAGCCGTCTGCTTGTTGTCCATATTATTGTAAAGAAATTCATCTCGCGGAATTCCGCGACGCATTGCTTTACGTTCTGCGATGGTTGTCAAACTCGTCTTTCCTCGTCGCGCAATGCGTCGTCTTTGTCGAGATTCGACGTCGGCCCGTCTCCAATTCCAAGATTGTATGTCCAGAGTCGGACACACACGGAGTATATTACCTTGTCGATCTGTCGGGATCAAATAACCCGATCTCACGCCAAAAGATAATGCTTTGCAGATGTACTTTTTGGCCTGTCGCTTTCCTGCAATATGGATGATGTTGATTGTCAGCACTTGTCATATCGCTCATGAAATTTGACCTCGCTAAAAGCGCTCTTAGCTCTACAGCAGCATGTAATGACAGTTGACACGATACATAGGTATACCGAACGAGCCAGTTTCTACTTGAAACGTACTCATCCAATGCATCTGTTCGATCTAGAAATTATCATTACATCTACTTCTAGCTGGCCTCGCAAAAAACTTGTCAGTTTATCACATAAAGATAAATTGTTAGAAAATCAAAATATTATTTATATATACATATACGAGGTGTTTCGAAATTCGCAAATTAAAATACTACAGCAAGAAAGTTTTTGAGATATAAGGATTTAAATATAGCCAATTACAAATTTAGATTGCCATCTATTCGATGAATCGCACGTGCGGTATAGTATTACACATGGTAAACTTGAGCGTTTAAATGCAGTTTATCTGAAGTTTATAATTAGCCATATTTGAATATTGAATGAGTCGTTATTATTTCACAAACTATATTGCTTAAAAAATTAAAATTTACAAATAATTTTTTTTACTTAATTTTTTGATAACTTTCTTATCGTGTACTTGATTCGCGACTTTCGGAATGTACACATATGTATGTATGTATGCATGTATGTATGTATATAGATATTATACACATAGAATTTTTTACAAAAAAATTGTGTAAAATTTTTCTAAATCATTCGGCTTGTTTTAAATGGGCTGAAAAGAGTTAATCCCTAATAGAAGTTTAGGTATGCAATTGTTTAATATAAAATCCATTATAGTAGGTATATCACTGCAGCAATTACTTTATGTTCAACCACTATGAGAGAGAAAGAATTTCAAATTTTGCTGCAATCAAATATATTAAATATTTCTTTTTACTACTATGTACACAAACTGGAAATTCTATGTAAATGAAAAATGCACCTTCTTCGACGCCAGCTTTGATGTAATTGTTAATGAGCTGTATTAAAGATCTCTTCCTGAAAAGTGCTTTGGCGCTGTTGAGCGAGTTTGTCAGTGCGTTTCGTTCCATTGAGACATTTGACACGCTGCTATTCGCGGAACTCGTTGGTACTGAGCTATTTGTAGCATCCGTTGCTTCCGTGAGATTATCGGTAGATGTAGGCCTAGATTCTATTGTGTACTCTGGCATTTGTACAGATTCCGAACCATTGCAGTGGTCGACTGCTTTGTAGGACAGCCTTTGCCGTTCATGAGAGTTCTGCATTCTCCGACAGTGTGTTTCGAACTGTTTCGGAGATGGAAAACGTCTTGCGTCTGCCAATAAACATATAAAAGCAACGTTAGATTACAAATTAAGATAAGATTTGATTATTTCTGTATAACGGATGATGTTTTATTAAATATCAATTATATATAATTATATGTAATTATATATAATTATATATGTGGAACATAAAATTGGAATAAAATACAATTGTTTTTGTCAGTTATTTAAGATATAATTGGTTTTAGGTTAAAAAATTCGAGTTGTATGTAAGATATAGATTGAAATAATTTAATTTTATATTTTAATTTATTGCCGTTTATTGGTGTTAAATATATAATCATGTAATTATATTTCAATCATAATACCGTGATTGTGTTTGTCGATGGTAAGAAGTTGATAGACTAATTGAGGTATATTGATGGAATCGTACAGTTGCTGTTGATATAGAGGGTTGGCGTGTTTACAGCGTACCGATTTAACTCGGGAACGAGTATCAGAATGTAATATTCGTCTTGGTGCCCGCTTCTTCCCGGATCGGGAGATTTTCGTCTTTCCCTTTGACGACGCCATTATTTAATAATAATAGGTATTTCTTTTTTGCTTTCACTTTCCGACGAATTCGCGTTGTAAAAACATACGATCGCATAGTTGGCATCGACTTGAGATAAAAACTGAATGATGCTCTTTCGTTGTTCTATTTTCGCAGAAAAGTAACTATATAATTATAATAAATTTAAGGATGTTTAGTATTTTTTAAATATTAAAAATTTGACAAAAATTTGACAAACTGTTTTTACATATGTTCAGAGACTTGTGACAAAATTCTGAGTCGATTCACTGAAGCAATCCAAAGTTACAAGGATTAATTTGCGACAAATTTATTTAATATCTATTTTCAAAATATCAGGAATTTAACAAAAATTTTATTGATTGTTCTATTATTACGTCTGAAAATCTATGTAAACTTTGAGTACAATTCTCTCATTATTAGTTTAAAATTTATTAATTTTTTTCTTGATTCTTATGTAAAATTATGATTTATTTTCGCTCCGAATAACTACCACTAGTACAGGCAAATTGTCCAAAATAAACAAAAAAATTGCGAAGTGGATGTAATTTGGTATAGACCTTTGAAAATATATATATTTCAAGAAACCAAAGAGCCCCTAGCCAAAAAGGGTGTGCTGGAGTGGCCACGCTTAACCCTTTGCGGCACAACGGGTCTCTTAGAGACCCATATGTAAATAATATAATTTTGTGATTTTTTTTTCATGTAAATCACTATCAATATCGACAAGTTTGGTAAATTTAACATCCTAAGATCTAAAATAATAAGATACAGTACTATAATTTTTTTTCTGTTAATAATATTGTTGAAATAAACAAACAAAATCGAAAAATGGTGTTTTATTCGAATAAATTCGATTTCTCGAAAAATATAAAAAGTTATAAATTGAAATTTCGTACTCTGAGGTTTTCGAGGTCGTTGAGTCTGTTTCGATTACTTTCGATACTTTATTCGATTGTGATAAACATTTTCATCCAATTGTACATTTGTTTTCTTAATACAACTGCTTCACTAGGTGTGAGTAATATTCTGTAAAAAAATACACATTAATTGCATAAGTGTCGATTTTTAAGTAGATTCAAATATTTAGATTATATTGCATGCATATCTTTTATACCTAAAGAAAATCGGAGTCGGTAGCATCTGCCTCGTAAAAGATATCTTCTAATTCTTCGCCCGCATGCTCGTGTACTGAGTCTATATCTTCGGAGTCGTCAAGATTTTCGCAAATTGGCTCCATGTATGCATTGAGGCACTGCATTCCCTGACAATGTCTACAAATTTCCGAGCATTTTAACCCTGCTTTTCTGCACCCACACCTCGAAGAACAATCAGATGTACAGTTGCAGGAGATAAGTTGTAGTATCGATTCTGGTGCTGGTTGAAGGAGTGTTGTAATAGGTTGCAACCGTTGATTTTCTTCCATCCCCACTGTTCCAGATTTTTGTTATTGCCAAGTCATAACTGAATTTGGTAGAAAACTCATGATGAATGTTGTGCAGCTGCCTCTGATGTTGGTGGTAATAATTCAAGCTTTGATTTTTGTTTTTGCAGCGAATTTTTAAATTGGTCAAATCTGTATGAATCAAGCGAAAGATTTCGAAATTTCTTGACACCGTATACCATCAAAAAAAGAGTTTCACCAGCATCTCTTACTTCCGATTGGGTTGAATTTTTGTCATTGAAAGTTTTCACGACATTAGCCAATCGAAATTCTTTTTGCAGGAGTTTGAAAATTTGTAATTTTCCCTTCTGAAATATACTAGACGTTGTATCACAATCACTGAAGGCAGTGATTGTGATACAACGTCACATGGGCCAGTAAGATTGTATCTTTCATATGTTGGTACGATTTTTGGATTTCTGACGACGAAAAAATTTTCCAGTTGATTTTGCCTGTGCCTGGCTTCATGAGAAATATATCTTTATTTTCTGGTGATAATGCGATCAAGAGAACAAGTAGATCAACGTCTTCGCCGGCTACAAATGTTCGACCATTATTCGACATTTCTATTGCGGTTTTAACAATAAGTGTATCCGCATCATCTATCGCTTGTTTTACCACGAATTTTCTATTTTGGAGAAATTTCGTTAACAATGAAATCAATCTAATTTTATTTTTATCGTTTGACAAAAATTTATTTTGATTGACAGTAGCCGTCATACTCTTTCATCGAAAATAGTTTCTACACGTTATTAGCGATGCTTCGAGGATTTGCACGTCATTATAACTGGAGCAAATGCCCAGCTTGGATAGCATTTGCACTAAATTTTTGGAACCCATCTTTTTATAAATAAATGACGCAATACTTAGTTGTAAAGGTGAATTAAAAGAACGGGGCTTAACTGCAGATATTATAGAATGTCCTATTGTGACACATTTTTTTTTAGTAACTGCGAATTATATTTTCGTTTATCTATGACGACTTTTTCCAAAAAAAACATTAGGGAATCAGGAACGCTGTCTTCAATGTTACTCAAAAATTCGGTGCTCTGAGGATAAGATTTGTTCTCATAAATACAATCAGCGATGTCAGATTTTATGATTTCAGCTGCTTTTTTAACAATTCTGAGTTTTTCTTCAACTTCATCCATTTTTCGTGAAACATACCAATTGTCACTTAAAATAGCATGTCCAATATTTCGGAAGCACACAGTAGGAGTTTTTTTACGGTTCACTGTTTTAATTATGTCATCTCCATATTTTTCTTTCAATTTATGTTTTATAGTTGTTTCATGCGGTACATAACCTTCGATTTGATTTATTAACTCGTGTAATGAGAATTGACAATCGTCGCTATTTTCTAAATAATTATAAATCGTTTCCATAGCAGATGTTACGCCTTCTGACGAGGGGCGCCCAGGCTTAATACTTTTCTCTCGTTTTACTCGAAAGAATTCTCGATAGCATTTATCGTGGTATGCAGCTTTTTCTGCGACCAAATCTATTGCGTTACTTATACGCCCCTTGACATCTCTTCCCCATTTGTCATTCCTCTCATTAGCGTGTTTTATAATACTATGTATTTTGGGTATTTACATTGTCGACAATAGTGATTGACATTCTTCTGCTTACCGATAATTTTTTCTGTTTTTCTTGAAAAGCTTCATCTATTTTTTCCGTACAAAAAAAGCATGTACTTTTCAAATCAAATGATGATTCAGATCTTAATTTTTTTTTGTTGGTGACAATTTTGACGTAGATGCTTCATCATTGCAAAATTTCTTCTTCGCCGCTTTAACATTGCTTGGTCTTGTATAATCTTTCCTACAATTTCTATGGACAACTATCGAATCACTTTCGCTGAGTAACTGGTGTTTGCCATCTTCTCGTTCTTTGCTGCAATTCCTTAAAGTTTGTATGGCTTCTAGACCAACCGTTACAGCATCATCTGAAATGAGTTTTTCACAAATAAAACACTCATTGTTTTTAGTCATATCGAAAAGTGTTCATGCACATACAAACACACCCACAGAATGTTTAAAATGCACAATAACAATTGTTGATTGTCAAGTTTTTCAAATACTGCTCAACCGAAATATCTTACAACATACGATACTACACGCACACTGTTTAAAACACAACTAACCAGAACGCAAGCATTTGGTCGACTGCCGGAGACCGTTTACCTGGATTTCGGGTCGAGCACAATATTGGATGCTCGGGACTCGTCGGATTCTTCAAAAGAATGTGTATGAGTATAGAAAGTTACAGACACTTCGCAATTTTTTTGTTTATTTGACGATTTTCGGCTTAATTTGCCTGTACTACACCCTCTTGCCCGTTTTGGGGCTGAGCAATCGGCTATCATCCGTCGCAGTTGAGAGATATTGAGCATAATCAGGGAATGAAAAGTTACTTTTTAAAAGTAACAAGTTACAGTTACTCGTTACCGAGTAGGAAAAGTAACAAGTTACCGTTACTAGTTACCGATTTTTAAAAGTAACTCGTTACAGTTACCGTTACTTGAGAAAGTAACTTTTCGTTACTTTTTCGTTACTTTTTTTTAAATCGACAACCAACAATCATAGCGGACGAGCCTAGAGGCTTCTCTAATCTCAAGCGCATTGTAAAAAATTGTGTAAAATTATAACTATTATGCTGGATAATTTTGAGATCCACTATAATAGTTGTAAACGTCCACACATTTGTAAATTTGCAATATGCAAATAAAAATAATTTCTTGGTTTGGAACTAGATTTGGAAGCAGATTGTGGAAGTACAATTACAATGTGTACCTATATGTGTAGCTACAAGAACGATAATATGACAATATATTTCGCACTATATATTATTATACATTTAACAACAATACGCGAAAAATTTCTTTTATGTTACGTAATATTACTAAAATTTGGATAATTACAGAAAATATTCAAAATATCCTGCTATAATTTCCAATATAAAATAAGATATATTTACACAATAAAAATAAATTTACATAATTTTTGTGGAATTACTGTAATTTCTGTAAAATTGCATGATTTTTTATATTTACAGAACTAATCATGTAATCTATTTTATATTTATATGTGTAAATTTACGAAATTTTTTTACAGTGTAAGTGGCTTGTGTCGTATCGTGTCCAATCATGTGCAAAGTAACGATAAACGTAACTGTAAAATTCGTTACCGTTACCAAAAAAATGTAACTTCGTTACCGTTACAGTTACCAAAGAAAAAAAGTAACGCAGTTACTAGTAAAGTTACCAAAAAAGTAACTTGTAACTGTAACTTCGTTACAAGTAACGAGTTACTTCCATTCCCTGAGCATAATAAGCATCAGGATCAAAAAGTAACGAAATTCGGAAAAGTAACGAAAATTGGTACGCTCACTCGTGCTTGGCACCCAACTCAAGTTAGACGAAGTTGTCGCCGACGTGCCGTCAGTCGAGACGACGGTCACAAATTTTGCACTGAAAATTCATTTTTATGTAAAAATGAAAATGAGAGAAACAATATTAACACATAAATTACAAACAATTCTTTAACGCTCGTATATTAAAATTGGCATGTCACGTTTTTTTGAAGCCTCTTTTCAAAGGGATGTTGGAGTACTCCGATTTCGATGTGGCTTCGTATTCGGGGATCGCTTGTTCCGAAATCGTGATAAAAATTTCGAAATTCAAAATGGCTGAACCAATATGACGGACGGAAATGTTACCGAAATTTTAAATGTTCTTCGATTTCGGTGAAAATTTGTATTATGAGGTTTTTGGAGTTGCTCGTTTCGAATTCGTGTTCAAAATTTGGAAATTTAAAATGGCTAAACCAATATGGCGGATGTTATGGAAATTTTAAAGATTGTTCAATTATGGTGTAATTTGTTTTTAGGGGATTTTTGGGGTGGTTCATTTCGATCTTGTTCAAAATTTGAGAATTCAAAATGGCTGAACAAAATGACGGTCAGAAATGTTACAGAAATTTAAAAGATTTACCGTTTATGTGGTGGAATTTGGTATTAGAGGGTTTATGGGGACGCTCGTTCCGAAATGTTTTAAATTTGGAAATTCAAAATGGTTGAACTAATATGGCGGACGGTAATGTTACGGAAATCTAAAAGGTTCTTCAATTTTGGTGAAATTTGATAAGAAGGTAGGGTTGTATTTAGGGAAATGTTGGTGGAGGTAGTACGGAGAGAGGGGAAGGGGAACGAGAGTATGAAGGAAACGAAAGGAAGAATAAGGGAAGTTTTGGGAAATATAGAAAAGAAGAGGGGTAAGAATAGGAAGGGAATGGGATGGTGAGATAGGGAATGTAGAGAAAAGGAGGGAGTGAGAAGGATATTAAGGGAGTGGAGGAAAAGTAATAGGGAGGGGGGGGGGGCAAAAATACAGAAAAGAAAAAAGGGATATAAAGAGCTGTGTGAGGCAAAGAAAAAAAAGGAGAATGAGAGATGGGAAAGGAAAGTGGAGGGAGCGAAGAGTGAGAGGCGATGTGGGAAATAGTAAACAGGGAAAGGAAGAGATGGAAGGGGATAAATAAGGAGATAGGGATGAGGGAGTGGGAGGAATATTTCAAGGATTTGTTGGGGGGGGGGGTTGAAGGGAGAGTGGTAAGGAGAGACAGGGGATGGAGAGGGAGTTAAGTAGAGAGGAGATAATAAGGAAGGTGACCAGAAACTTGAAGGATGGAAAGGCAATGGGGATAGACGGGATTCCGAATAAGGTATGGAAATATTGGAGGGAGGGGATGGAGAAATAGGTGTGGAGAGTGTGTAATGAGATTTGGAAGGGGGGGGATTGCCAGAGGAATGGAAAGAGGGAGTGGGAGTACCGGTTAGGAAAAAAGGACAGGGAGAGGAAGTAAGGGACTATAGGGGAATATCGATAATGCCGTCATTATATAAGGTATATACGGCAGCGTTGAGGGAGGAGGTGGAGGGGAAGGGGTTAATTTCAGTGAATCAGACGGGTTTCAGAAAGAGGTTGAGGACGTTGGATAACATATATGTGTTGAATTTTCTAATAAATAGGCAGGTAAAGAAAAAAGGGGGAAAACTGATAGTTTTATTTGTGGATTTGAAAGCGGCATATGATTCGGTGGATAGGGGACTATTGATAGAGGCACTAAGGAAGAGAGGGATAAGGGAAGGGCTGGTAGAAAAGGTGGGGGAGCTATTAAGAGAAACAAAGAGTAAGTGAGAACAAGGGTGGGAGAATTAGGAGAGTCTTTGGATGGTAAGGGGGGTAAAACAGGGATGCTCACTGATTCCGCTGTTATTCAATGTAATGACGGCGCACCTGGAGGAGGAGATGGGAAAGGTAAAATGGGGGGAGGTGAATTTGGGAGGTAGGAAGGTAGATAGGTAAATTAGCTAAATTTTATATTAGCTAAATATAAAATTTTTTGTGAGGGGGCTGAGTAGGCAGCCAATCAACAGATTTGGAAAATTAAATACTCAGGATTCATGCGCTATTTATGCGCTACTATTTCCAGGCATTTCTGGTTTTTGCGCTACAACATTTAAGGTACTTCTCTCTTGGAGCGAACAGTCATATTCACCCCTAAGTCACGTCTGCCTAGCTGGCCCCGCCACTTCCCCAAATCTTAATGAAAAAAATTATGGAATAATGCGCTATTTATGCGCTACCTATATCCGTAAAAGTCAATCTTTGTGCTCATTCCGTTTTGCTAAAAGAAAATTTTTTCGTGGGGGAACTAAGCGGGCAATCAGTCAGCCCACGCACCCGTTAAAAACAATCGTTTTGGAAAATTAAATACACATGATTTATCCGCTATTTATGCGCTACTATTTCCAGGCATTTTTGGTTTTTGCGGTACAACACTTAAGGCACTTCTCTCTCTCTCTCTCTCTCTCTCTCTCGGAGCGAACAGTTATATTCACTCCTAAGTCACGTCTGCTTAGCTGGCCCCCCCACTTACCCAAATCTAAATGAAAAAAATTATGGAATACTGCGCTATTTATGCGCTACCTATATCCGCAAAAAAAATTTTTGCGCTCATTCCATTCGAATGCGAGCATTCGTGAGAAAACTATGAGCAAACGAATGCAGAAAAAAATATTCGATCTTTTAATATTGGGGAGCTAACGTGAAGTTGACCCTCCAAAATTAAAATTTCGTATAACTTTTGAATTAAGGGTGAGCAAACGAAAATTCTGACGGAGCAATCGTTTGCAAACGACGAGCAAACGAATGCAAAAAAAATATTCGATCTTTTAATATTGGGGGGCTAACGTAAAGTTGGCCTTCCAAAATTTAAATTTAGTTTAACTTTTGAACTAAGGGTGAGCAAACAAAAATTTCAACGGAGCAATCGTGCATATGAGCAAACGATGAGCTAACTAATGCAAAAAAAATATTTGATTTTTTAATATTGGGGGGCTAGCGTGAAGTAGGCCCCCCAAAATTTAAATTTCGTATAACTTTTGAACTAAGGGTGAGCAAACGAAAATTCGGAAATTTAATTTCACGGGTTAATATCGTTAAAATGTTTGAATGATATTGGCTGCAGATATATTAGCTATTTTTGGCTGATTATTTGACTGGTACTTTTTACTGATACATGCATAGACAAAGCGTCCTTAAGTCACAATTTCAGTCCTTCCAAAATAGATGTAGATTCCGTGTTTCAAAATTATTGCCAACGCTGACAATCTATATAGTTTACATTATATAATACGAGTAAATTTGTATAAATTGCTGAATTACCAACGGTAGATTTACTGTGTGTATAAGTTAAGGGTGACGAGACTCGTTCACATAATCGATTGGTGGTCTGTACATATATACATGACCGACGCACGCACAACTAGTAATGCCGCGACGAAAGCGCACCATACTACTGAACCGCGACATCAGTCATCAGTGATCATGATCAGTGTGGTCCAGTCATTTCATAGTGGTTACCACTTGCTGTTGCCGCGCCGCAGTTATCATTTATTGGTTGCAACTGCAACGTTAATATGTATATAATACATGTTATCATCGAGGCTCCCGATTATCGCTATTGTACGACATACTTCCGAATATAAGTCAGTAGCAGCAGCAGCAGCAGCAGCGTATCCCTTCGTTGGCTCGCGATCAATACTCATCCGAACCGAACGGATAATGTGCAGCAGTGCAGCGATTGTTGTCTATTGTCTCGTGAATAGTTGAGTACTGACTACTGAGCTTACTCTCGTGGTGTCTCGAGTTCTTAGGCGAATGTTTCATCTGCGATATAAATTTTTCGCATGTATGTTTATTTTTCCAGTGCAAAATAAATATGTATTTATACATTGTGTACAAAACGCTGCTCCACATAAATATTATTGTGTCTTGCGAAGAACATTATTGTCAGGGGAAATTTCGAGAAACTCGTTGAGAGTGCAGTGATCGCTAAATTTTGTATTCTGTAGCGCGCTTAGACGCGCGGTAGAACAAAACGGCGAAGATGAAGAGACAGAATGTCAGGACTTTGTCATTAGTAGTGTGTACATTTACATATCTCCTTGTTGGCGCTGCGGTATTTGATGCCCTTGAATCGGACACTGAGAAGAAACGCTGGGAATTTCTCTCGGGTGAGTTCTTTATCGCTGTTTGAGTCGATGAAATACCTAGTTTTAAGCGAATCGATAATTGATCATTAATTATAATTTTTTTTCGCTTTTGGAAAATATTATTGCAGAGATACGCCGTAATATGATGAGGAAGTACAATATTACGCCGGAGGACTATAAGATGGTAGAAATTGTAATAATAGAGAACAAGCCACATAAAGCGGGACCGCAGTGGAAATTTGCGGGTGCTTTCTATTTTGCCACTTTAGTATTAGCCATGATTGGTGAGTCACGCTTGTGTTCCTTGGTGAAAGAATTATATTTAATATTTATATACAAAAGGATACATACATAGAAAAGATGGAAACTTTCAGTATTTCTGGAAAATGTTTCAATTCGTAAAAACTCTAAGAAATTTTTTACAAAATTATGAAATTATACTTACAAACATTATAAAACTTATATGTAAACATTCTGAAAAATTACTTGTATGAAGAACGCAAAGAAGAATTTTCGCCGGGGCTATCTTCAAAAATTATTTAAATTTTTAATGTGTACACATATTAAAGATTAGACGATAAATCAAAATTCAATGAAAAATTATGTTTTGTATCAGACAACACAATAAATATATTTTTAATTGATATTAAAATAAAATGCTCACAAAATGAGAGAGAGAGAGAGAGAGAGAGAGAGAGAGAATAGTATTTTAATAAAAATTTAATATATATAAAATTTTTTTCTGTAAGGTTACGGGCATTCGACTCCTGTGACCAAAACCGGAAAGGCATTTTGTATGGTATATGCAGTGGTAGGAATTCCTTTGGGATTGGTAATGTTTCAAAGCATTGGTGAACGATTGAACAAGTTTGCATCAGTTGTGATTAGACGAGCAAAGACGTATCTCAGATGTCAAAAAACCGAAGCTACAGAGATGAATCTCATGCTAGCGACTGGTTTACTTTCAAGTATAATTATTACGACAGGTGCTGCAGTGTTTTCGAGATATGAGGGTTGGAGCTACTTTGATAGTTTTTATTACTGTTTTGTGACGCTTACAACTATAGGTTTTGGTGACTATGTCGCTCTTCAGGTAAATAACGTTTGGTTGATCGTCAGCGAGAGAAGCAGTAAGATTTATAGACAAATTACTTTGCAGAATGATCAAGCGCTTTCCAATAAACCTGGATATGTGATTTTGAGTTTGATCTTTATCCTATTTGGTTTGGCCGTAGTTGCTGCCAGTATTAATTTGCTCGTATTGCGCTTCATGACGACGTAAATATCTACATTTTCTGTAATAGAAGACGAATTATTTTACAGATATGTGAAAAAATTATTAATATCCTGCAAAACATCACTTTAGGGATTCCGGTGAGGCGCGTCGTGACGACACTGAGCTGCAATCGGCTTCCCATCACGTATTGACGTTAGACGGCGAGGTTGTGGCGGTAAATGGAAAGCTTCTGGCCAGTCACGTGCCTGTCGTGCACGACACGGACGATTGTGTGAGCGTGTGCTCTTGCACTTGTCTAGGCCCAGCGAATTCCGAGCTATTGGATCCTTCCGGATATCAAGGATATCGACCACCCCCGACTTCTGCCAGTCTCCGAGTAAAACGTGCGTCCGTCTGATGGAGGGAGTTTCGTCGTCGCAGTTTACGTCGCCGATTTTTAAAGGCCGATAGCCGAGAATTGCTCGGCATTGATGTTTAAGATTGCTGGTTCCCCGCACAAAAAGCTCCTCGCGAGAAAATACCGCACACTGTGATACATCTACGAAGGACAATTTATAACTTTACGTAAATATTTTCACATTCTGTGTGGAAAGTAAAATTTTAAAAACTGCCATTTAAAAAAAAATTTGATGTTTGATACGTCTAATTAGAACTCTGATTGTTGATCATTGTCCGAGTCCTGGCTAAAACTTGAAGAGGGACACTTGAATAATGTGTTCCTACTGCATTTTCTTGACGTTATATCAACCCGTATCCCAAAACAAGTTGATGCATTTTGATAATTAATGTTGCTCAACTGTGTCCATTTTTGACGCATGAATGACGTGTATGTAAACCCCGTGTGACGCTTAATTTGTCAAGTGAAAATATGACAAATTATTTGAATATTCAAGTGGTGATCTTTGCAATATTGTATCTTAAAAAAGTGCAACATCCGTTAAACCTCAGAAGGGATATATGTACGATCGAGTTATCAACTCGCGAATTATTCAAAAGATGATGGCGCATTTATATATCGTAATATTATTAATGTTGTATTAATGTAATATATATGCAAAATGAAGAAGCATAGAACATTTGGATAATCTAGAGGTTTTCATATTAACAGGATTAACGTAACGTGCAATTGAATACTACCATTTTTCTCATTTTTGTAAACGGATTTGGCTGCAATTGCTATATGCCTATTATTATTTATTTAATAAAATTTTTATTTTTTGTTTTATATTGACTTGCATATTTTTTCGTAGGTTAAAAAAATATTTTTGCACAAAATATAAATTTGAACTCATTCTGAATGAAATACATTGCTTTTTGCTATTAAATACATATATAAAGTAACGAAATATCACTATTTAATTATATCATTAGTACTTTTGGAGTATTAGTTTTTCTGACTGTATGAGCAAACGTTGTGGAAATTTCGTAAGATATTAGAAGTCAAAATTGGATGGAAGTGAAGACAGACACATCAATTTTTGACCTACAGGATGGCACATAAAAAAATACCATTTATTTCATACATAACACATTTATTTTTAATAAAATTAGTACAGAATTGACTTATCATAAAATTAATTTAAATCCCGAAAAATTGTCTAATAGATAACATTCAACATGAACCCACCGTTTGGCTCATAATTTCTTGAAGAGTTTGACTCGCTATTTTTCGATAAATCTTCAGCATGAGATAACTATATACCATGATGGAAACGTTTGTGTCTTTGAGTTTCTGTCACACTGTTTCTATAAATAACAATATAACTTTCACTTGGCGGTTATCATTTTAAGTCAACTATCCGCTGTTATTCATTATTTCACGAGTTGGCCTCATCACCTCGCTGCTCAATTCTGATACTACACCTAGCAGAATTTCCACGAAGTACAGAATTTGTTTACATTGTTAAAAAAAAAACGATACTTCACAAATTCAATTTCAATGAAATAATTATGTGGTATGATAGGACTGTTCATCTTTCTTCCTTTTTTTTCTTTCTGGAAAGAAAAGGAAGAAAGATGAACCGATGCAAAAGTTCAACCAAAAAGAGCAGGCCTGATGTTTCGTGTACCACCCTGTAATTGAGAACCTCTAGTCTAGCTATCGTATTCATTGAACTATGTATACACTAGAATGGGCATCTCCGCTGTGATGTACAGAAAATCGTGGCCGCAATTGATCAGCCGCCATTTTGATTTGATGTGGTATCTGAGCGAATCAGAAGCTTTCAGGTGCTCATGCGCACTTACGTTTAATGTTTTTTAGTAAGACGCATATGGCATATGGAACGGTGATCGTTGGTGATCGTCTACTGACGTGATCGAACGTATTATTGCGTCATCATTTTTGAAAAGTGTGACCGGCTTGAAACGCGCAATTGAGTTTATGTTACTCTTTTAGACTTTCGTATTCTGCATATTCTCACGTGAAGACGAAATAAGACGCATATGTCAGCAAGATTATCGTGTGTGAGATTATATTTAAAGGATTATAAAATCGCGTGACTGTCTACAAAGCATCAACATGAAGTGTGCCTGGGTGTGGGCAGAGAAGTAAAAAGGGCCTTTCATTTCATAGGTAAAAATAATTGAAGTGACATTATTTTTGTTTATATACCATTCATGTCCATATAGATTTCCATACATCGATTGCAACGCGCGCGCGAACGCTTCTGATTCGCTCAAATACCACATCAAATCAAAATGGCTGATCAATTGCGGCCACGAATTTTCCTCGATGCTCATTCCAGTGTTATATATAGTTCAGTGATCGTATTATGTCGCAAAAACTATATACACATATATACGAGTATAAACACGATAGAACAATATTCTATGTAGATATTGAGCCTCAACAGCGTATTGTATATCCTATTTATATTTGTAAAGAAATTTTGCCTCGAGAAATTCGACGTGATCATTTATGTAATCCGGGCACTTATCATGGAATATATAAGTCGGAATGGATTCCAATCGGAATTATTTCGTTTTCCCTAGGAAATACAATAGAAATGTAGGGAATAATCGAATAATTCCTATCGGAATCCATTTCGAATAATTTCATAATGCGTACCGAAATCAGAAATATATACATAGATGTATCGTGACTCTCATATTTTTTAAAAATGTTTACAAAATAAAGTGAAGAATGCAAGAAAATACCCGGAAAGACTGATAGCTTAAACTAAAACCGACATAATTGCTATTTGTTTCAATAAAAATCTTTGAGCCTTTATTGTTTAGTTGTGTCAACACTTTTTAAAATAGTTTATCAGATATTTTTTAATATCATGTTATTTGAAATAAAATGAAACGATAAATACCAAACGGTAACAAAAAATAATTTATTTCTTTAAAAATTTTATCCCTTATAATATCCATTGCGTATTAATAATTAAATATATTAAAAATGAAAGTGACATTTTAACATTCTTTTTATTTATATTTTATTTTCCAATGATTCGCGTTAAAGAGAGATAAAATATGCGTTTAATTAACATAGATAAAATATTTGATTAATGCTTTAGTTGATTAATTTGAAGAATCGTGGTCACAATTGTTATGATCCCATATACGCTTAATTATTTAGTTACAAATGTACATAATAATTTTCGAGAGTTTATTTCTTGAGAAAAAGTTTAAGCTGAAGTATATATGTATATACATGTATATCGGTAATATTATAGTGAAATTCAATTCTTTCCGGAACGCATTGCAATAATGCAGTGCAATATTTAAAAGTATATGTACATGAAAAAAAGCCAACGTACTGAAAATAATTTCTTATTTGTAAACTATATAAAGTACTTTATAATTTCGCATCGATCAAAAAAATATCAAGCAATTTAGATATTGGTCAGATCAATTTTAATCTAGGAAAAAGCATTCATTACTATACATTATGTGAAATTAGTGCTTATAGAAATGCGCGCAGTACAATTTAATAATATTTAAATATGTAAAATTTATGTATACAATACAACGTTACATTGGGCGCATTCAGCGGACTCAACAGTTGAGTGAGCGCTCACTGTTATTGGTGTATTCTTCTAAATCTAAAATCCTGATTGGATGAGCTAAAAGAATACACCAATAACAGCGAGCGCTCACTCAACTATTTAGTCCGCTGAATGCGCCCATTGCCTGCTATGCGCAAACCGAGGTCATTCTCTCGTTGAACAGAGTATAGTCATAGAAGTCTGTGATTAATGATTATAAATAAAATGCAAGCGATAATTTTCGAAAAACAATAGAAATTTTCTTTGGACATAACAATTGCAATATTATTCAAATATTAATATATTATCAAATCGTTTAACCTTATATATATGCCATTTATCAATACTTATTCATTGATGATAAAAATTAAGCTATTAAAGTATAAATGATCGAGCATATATGTAAATTACCCTTAAAAAGAAAAAACAAGTTTTCTTTTATAAAACCATTGACTTTCAAAAATATATGGACTACATGGTGTGGCATCAGCAAATATACTCCAAAATGCAGTTTTTATATGGACAGCACGGCCACAACGTTTGCTGAAAAAATAAGGCATACCGGATCTAAATATTGGTGGATAATACATCCATTTAGTTATGCTAGGCATGTTTCGAACGTAAAAGAAGTTATTTAATAAATTTTCTAAACGCTCTTACTCTCTAAATACTTTTACTTTTCCTTGTACAACAAAACATATGTTGTTTTATTTCTGATTAAGAGAATTCACAGATTAATGTGGGATACCTTAATGATGGCAATATATTTTATCGCTTTCTTTACAATTCCATTTATGATTTGCTTTGTTACAATGGATTATGAAATAATTGGTCTGGATATAGTAAATATTCCAATTTACACGATCTGCTGGATAGATATAATGTTTAATTGTATTACGGGATATTACAACAAGAAAACCATGTCTATTGAGTTGAAACCTATTAAAATACTTATGTGAGATATCGTTATTTATAATATATATTAAAATTTTTTTTTGCTTATTCAATTGCTTTTATTAATTTGTATTTAATGCTAAATACATATTCTTCGATAGATTCTATCTTAAAGGATTTCTTATACCAGATGTGCTATCGTCTTTTCCGTTTGATTATATGACACTGCGATGGCGAAGATTGCCGGGAAATAATCCTCATTATATCATTACTTTAATTAATATCATGCCTCTCATGAAGTTGACACGCTATTATACTTTCAACTCAAACATTTATTATCTATTTACGGTAATCTGTCCTTATCATAATTGTTTTTTACGAAGATACACAACGGCATTATATCGTGTAAACATTATTTTCAGCATTTTGAAATAAAAAGCTTTTATTTTGAATTGTGTACTACCTTATTGCTAGGATTATACTTCATCTTTTGGTGTTCTTGTTTGTGTTACTTAATACCAATTTTACTGATGTACTTTGTAAACATTCCACCGACAGTAAGCCACGTTTACAATAATGATCTACGCTAACATTTCTACGTTTTTATATTTTTATATTTTATTATTTTTTAAATTATTTTAAATTATAAGTTTTTAAAGATGCATTTATTAAAATGTATTTATAAAATATAACGTGTGTCAAAAGGAATGCGAGAATTGTTGGATGATGAAACTGGAAGACAGCAGTCTCAAGTTTAGGTTCAAGAACGCTGCATTTATTGTATTGGAAAATATATTATCAAGTGGCTACGGTCTATTCATACCAGAGACAGATGGCCCTATCATTTTCAATAGCATTCTTATGATTATCGGCAAAATTATTGTATGCTATATGTTGAGTAAGATATTGTGTAATATCTACACATCTTTACTAGAAGTTATGCATTATTAAATATTTTTTTTGGATTATCAAACATGTTGCTGTGTCTTTCAGTTATGTTTCTTCGTACCAAAGCTGAAAGAAAATCATCCGAATCAAAATTTCAAGAGTTGATAGATCAAGTCAAAGCATACACAAGACAAAAACAATTATTACCACATATGAAGAAACGTCTCTTAGCTTATTATCATTATCGTTTCAAAAATACCTATTTTCGCAGTAAACGAATTTTATCAGATTTGACAGGTTAATAAAATATTATATAGAGAGGAAAAGAATAAGATGGAGAACACATGATAGAATATAAAATTTTTAGCAAGATAGTAACTATTGAAATTAAATTTGGATTTTTTTCGAGTGGTCTTTCACTCCCGAATCAAACAAACATCGTTGCTCGACTCTCGCTGACTCGGTTTGATTCACTTCTTATTTTCACTGGCCTCTACTGATTCCTTGCACTATTTTTGTTATTTGCGCTCGTCGATTCGCGCTGACTCGTTTCTTAAACGCGCCGACTTGCTAAGATTCGCACTGTGACTCGCAAGAGTGAAAGACCCTTTGAATTTTTTGCAGAACCATTACGAGAAGAGATTGCGCTTCAGTCTTGTCGACGATTAATCGAAAACGTGGAAATTTTTAAGAATTTACCAAGAAATGTTCTGCAGTCAATAGTGAAGCACTTAAAATTTGAGTTATATTTGCCAAATGACGTAATTATTAAAGCTGGTACTCAGGGCGATTGTATGTTCTTTTTATCCTCGGGGACTGTTGCGGTTTTAACGCCAACTGGAAAGGAAGTTAGTTTTTTAAAATATTCAATATATTGGGTTCGCATTTATATTGCGAAAAAGAAATTTACTCTTTGTTATTTCGAGATGTGTCATTTGAATGACGGTGCCCATTTCGGCGAAGTCGCACTCTTAGTGGCGGATCAGCGAAGAGTAGCTAGTGTTGTCGCAATCGAAGTCTGTGAGGTGTATCGATTAGATCGTAAAGACTTTCGTCATTGCATAGACGTACACAGCGAGCTATTCGCAGAGATTGAACGTATCGCCACGGAACGTATAGAAAAAACTGTCAGAGCTGAGGAACAGCACAAGCGTTTTTTGATGCGTCCTGGTCGCGTGCCGAATTTAAGCAATGCATCAACGAAAATTTAATTTTATATATGTATAGGTATGTGTTAATTACTGTTTGATTCAGAATAAGTACTTTAAAATCTTGGATTAGTAATTCTTTATGTTACTAATATATAAAATTACTCATAGTAATTGATTTTACCAAGAGACCATTATCGCTAATAATTAGAAGAAAAATTTGTTTCATATAAATGATCTCGTTGATTGGTTTTTTGTTACCGTAAAATAATAATCATTCTGACAGTAATCGCATATATTTAAAGACCTTATATATAATATTATTGTCCATACAATAATTGTATAAGATAATGATATTCTCTCCTATACTTATACTTATTTTTATTTTAAAATTATATATATATATATGTATATGTATGTATATGCATACACGTGTGTGTGTTAATCATTACATCCAATATCTATAATTACAATTACATTCGCTAAGATTTTACTGTGTGATGAATCTATATATACTTCTATCTGGATGTAATGTACGAGAGGTATAAATCATGGTTATTTTTTTCTTGATAAATTCTTGTACAAAAAGGTCAAAAGTTTTATGTCGAAATTTATGATATCGATCATAATGAAATATCACCAAAATTGCAAGATTGAGATAGAAAATGAGTGACACTTTATACGATATGTTAAGGAAAACAGTGGATCATTATCGATAGCCATGACGGAATTCCGCCATGATCGAACAATCAGCCAATATTGTTACACGCGAGATAAGTTTCAGCGCGAAGTCGTGAGAATCGCAGTTCCAATAATATAATTAAGTTTATGATCGTAACTAAATGCACCTACGGAGATTGGTAGTTACTGTACAAATATATGTCACGTTTTCGTAGTATTATACGTAATTGGATAATGTGGAATTAACGATAGATCAACGGTGTATGAAAATGATATATCTACATGTAAAATACGGAGCATATTCGAAGGTTACAACGTCTCGAATCGTATGATGTAAATAATTATTTACAATAGGTCGCATTAATACACACAGCGCAAGCGACGGGATTCTCTGACGTCTTATATCGACGATCGCTAACTAGCGACAACCAATGACAACCGAGCTTTTTTCCAGGATTGTCCTTGCCTTGGCTATCGCTAGTTAACGATAGTGATAATCATCGCTAAGGCCCAGTTCCACAACTGACGGTTAACTCGTCATAACCGAGGTTCAACTTATTCATTGACTCTTTCCAATTTTATAATTGGAAAAAAGATAAGAAACTAGTTAAGAATGAATTGTGAAACTGGGCCTAAAACGTTAGAGAATCCCACTACAGCTGATATTAATGTACCTACGTCTAGTATATAGGATATGCTTATTACGATTTTTCACGCAATTACCTTTTCGCGCGTTTTCGTTTTTTATTCGTAATTAATTCCAAATCTACGGAAACAGCTGATCAACATCGACTGCTTAAATATAATTACTAAAATCGCTTTATCGAATTAAATGGAACGGTACACTAAGTGACACTTTTCGCTATAACGGTATTACATATCTTTTGATCGTATCTAAAGGAGAGCACAGAGGAGAAGAGTACTTAATATCTTCATCGATACTATATTCTTGTTAGCGAATATGTTGGATGAATGTCTTCTAAATGAATTTAATCTCTATATTTTGTTTTATTATGCTACAATCAAACATTATCTTGGAAAGAAATACGAAGGTATATGTGACAGCTATTTACACTAATGAGACATCGTGTATATTCAGCACTCTTTTCCCAATCGTTTTAAAGGTTATCTAATAAGGCACTGTGTTTTACTACGACTGAACTGGTGCAAGTATGGAATACTCAGGAGTTGGTCTAAGGATTTACAATACCTATATTGATTCTGATCGGTAACAATCTCGACTCATGACTTACATTTACGATGCGTGTATAAATGTTTTGATTTGCCTTTTCTTTTCCCATTTACCTTTATCATCGTCAATTTTACAATCGGTATTTCAATGATCTACATTATGAGTAATGATTGTTTGACATATGAAGATAGTAAACAGTATGTAATTATAATAGTTACGATTAAAATGTTTCAGGAACAAACGTTACATGCAACAAATATGCATTCGAATGCAATAGCTGATTATTAGATAAAGTAGAAGATTGACTGTACATGTATTATGCAAGTAAAAGATGTAATGCTATGCACAATTTAAGAACATTGCAAATTGAGCGCAAAGTTATGTCGATATTAAAATTGATACTACACAATATACTTTATCCAATTAGGCATTCTGGGAACATTCTTAGGATATTTAGAGGACAACATAACAACATTTTGTGGCAACATTAGAACGTCCTGTGGGATCTGTGCTGTATGGCTCATGTTTAAATATAATTTTACTTTCAGTATGGATAATAAAGTTTCAAATAGGGTTGGTAAAAATCATGTTTTAAACATGTTTTAAGCTGTTTAAAACTTGCTTAATCGATGTTTTTAACATGTTTTTTTAAATACTATTTAAAGCATGTTGAAGCATTAAAAACATGTTTGAAAAAAAAAACAGAATGTTTTATTCTTAAAAAAAGTTATCTCTTATCAACCCTGATTTCAAATGGGCATTTACAGTCAATCTCAAGTTCTCAAGTCACTGTGGGGAAACATTTCATTACATATAATTCAAATTGCTTTCGGAGAGAGTAAACTCTTAAATGTACATTAAATCAAAGCTACATGTCCATCTAAAAAATGTCTTTCTCTTTCATTCTATCTTTGAAGAAAATAACAAAAATTTAAAAATTAAAATTCTCAACTAAATACAAATTTTAAAGTTCTGTTTCGTCATTATCTTCAATAGACACATTGGGTGCTTTTCAATTGTAAAATTACTCGACACTTTCATGCGCATGGCGACATAAGTTTTGCATTCCGATTGCCATAATCGTCGATATAACACTACACATTTGTACTCAGCCTGAAGGCTACTAGTCGGCTATAGATCTGTTCGCGTTGCTTGCACTTTTGGCGCTCGACATCTTCGCTTTCTCTCTTTTCAAGGCAAAATATGTATCTATCTCATTTTAAGTGCAAAAATATTTGGGGATTTCACGCAACGCGAACAGGGCCTATGTAAGCTGTGTTTTCTAGTGACAATTATATTATATGTCACTAACCCGCGCGGCTATAAATGAGATTGGAGGACGTTGAGTGGCCGATACTTATACTTTTTTCATTCAATACAGGTGGAAAAAGCTACATTTAATCTAATTCTATCCGAAACAGATCGAAATCGTGCACAATGTATACATTCTGTTTTAATTGAATCGTGCATAATATGCTACACTTCTATAGGCGCATAATATTATTTAATATTTTAAGCATATTCTCAGAATATTTAATCACAATTTAATATTTTAAAAATATGCTTAAAATATTAAATAATATTATGCGCCTATAGGGATTTTATGCATTCCTGTATACGCTATGTTAAAGATCCATTAAACAATTGGAAAGCACCCATTTACTACTAACGTTTGCTAGTGAGGTATGCAAAAAAATGGTGCATACGTACATGTATGTATATGCATAACGTGCGCGCGCGTGTGCGCGCGTGTGTGTGTGGTAATGAAAGATAATGAGAATAACTTGGAGTCGCGTTATGTGATAATACATATGCGAGTGTAAGAACTGAATAATAAAATATTATTATAAATGACATATTACATAATAAACTATTTATATTATACAACATAATGTGAGTGCATACACATATTAATACAAATATAGATACAGGTTCCTTTTTTAATTACGCAGTATAATGTGTCCAATGAAAAACTTCACTCAACTTATTGTTACACAATGTTTTATGCAAGTAAACTTTATTTTTTGTGTATCGTTTCATTGTAGCGTGCGCACTAACTCTATGCTGCGTGGAAAGGAATGATATATCGTCTCACATGAATAAACACTCTTCAGATTGTATTTTCAAGATTTGTGCAGGAATTGTCGAAATTTTGCTGTTGATTTCAAAAAAGAAATTTCTCAAGAATTACACGTTATTGCGCTGCTGTGAGTTATCATAAATATTCGACAATTAACCTGAAATATAGTTATTACACAAAATATATATTAAATTTAAAAGAATACTATTTGAAAACAGTATTTCCTGCATATTCTATAATACGATCCGCAAAATTACGCGCTTGTCTGCAGTCGACATTGGTTACTTTGACAACATAGGATGTCATCTGGAAAGTATGCGCGATTGCGACGTTTCTACTTATCTCTTAAGAACAAGTAGTTAATTACCCCGCCTAATATGGCTTCATCGGACTAGGATTCAGCATCAGATCGTATATACATGGATAAACGTCGAAGAACAAGATCGCGCAGGCCGAATCGCGTGATGTCAGTTTTGCACGTTTTAGATAAGAATATATATATATATATGTATACATACACATATATCGTATACATATTATACCGATGTATAAACGCTCTAAGGCTTTGGCAGTGATTTAATAAATCGATTATCCGGCACGTCCGATAAGAGCAGGTACGCGCAATTTCTCTCTCATTTTTTTCTATTGCGAATCCCACCGGCTACGATCCAGAATCGATATTTATGTTAGTATTTGTCTACGTGCTATCACGTGTATCGGAAATATCAAAAAGTCAATTTGGTGTCTTATACAAGCATTCGCGGAATAAATCTCCTTCTTCTTCTCGAATTATCGATATGAGGTTCTCTCGCTGGTAACTGGCCGGCCTCTGTGCATGATCGGCAGCAAAACTTTGCATAGTACTTGTGTGTACAATACTTGGCTGCAACAATAAGTTCGCAATTGGCGAAAAACGTGTTATCCTGGCAATGGGGATGAATAAAGATACCTGAAAAAAATCAATTATATTAATGAAACGTATATTGTTTGCATGAAGGGATATATATAAAGAAAATATGTATATATTGATATGAATCATAGTCTCTCACCAGCTACGCGTATATCAACATTATCAGAATCCGAAGAGAATTCATTGGCTGCTTCGCATCG